ATAAGATACTACTCCAACGTGATATCTGCCGCCCCCAGCCACCCCCGGTTCAAAAGTTTAAATGACACCCTGTATTTTTTTTTACATATTCTAAAAGAGCGTAGTTTTTTTAGTATCTCTATGTGAAAAAATTACTTAATTACACAATGAACTTTGAAAGATATTTACAGCTAAAGGTTCAGATACCAGGTATTCAAAGCAAGCCATGAAAGCTGCTTCGTTGCTTGAACTGTCAAATAATATTGTTTGTGACAGTTCTGTTTACTCGTTAGTACAAAAGTTTTCGAAAAAATTTGACTTAGTTTAAATTAAATAGCTAAAAAAATAGAAAAATGGTCTACAGTTTGGAAGAAAGAACTGAAATTGTAGTTTTATATGGGATTGCAAACAGAAACTATTCGCAGACGGCAGCATTATTTAACGAAAACCATCCCAACAAAAATGTATCTGCTGTTTATGTAATTAATCTAATACAAAAATTTTTTGAAACTGGATCGGTAAATAATAAAAAACGTGATATGAATAATCGTGGAGCACGAGATGAAGCAACGCAAGTTGCAGTTCTTGGTCACGTAAATTTAGACCCACAGCTTTCAGTTAGAAAATTATCAGAAGCTTCGGGAGTGGCAAAAACAACGTGCCATAAAATATTAAAATTAAATAAAATGCATCCTTATAAAATACAGGTTCATCAAGAGTTGGGCGACGATGACTTCGATAAAAGAGTCCAATTTTGTGAAACTATTACAGGCATGATTCGGCAAAATAGAAATATTTTGCGAAATATTTGTTTCACTGACGAAAGTTGCTTTTCCTTAAATGGTTTCGTAAATAGACACAATTGTCGATATTGAAGCGATGTTAATCCCCACGTTTTCCGAGAAGGCCATACGCAACGCCCCCAAAAAATTAATGTATGGGCTGGAATTCTATGTAACCAAATAATTGGTCCAATTTTCTATCACGAGAATTTAACTGGGCCTAGATATCTCGAGTTTTTAGAAGAATTAATACATCCTCTTATCATTCAGTGCTTGGAAGAAAACTTAGATCAAATGCAGGAGGATCAGTTATACTTTCAGCAAGACGGAGCTCCCCCTCATTACTGTTTAGAAGTAAGGCAATATTTAAATACCGTTTTTCCAGGACAATGGATAGGTCGTAGGGGTCCTATTTCTTTTTATGGGGACATTTGAAGTCTGTTGTTTACAGGACACCACCACAATCCATTGATGATTTGCGTAATAGAATCATAGAGGAATGTAGAGATTTAACACCACATGTCTTTGAAAATATTCGGAACGCTTTCGAGAATAGACTGTACTATTGTTTAAATGTAAACGGTGAACATTTTGAACATTTGATTTAACTAAAAAAATAAAAAGAGTCCTTACTTTAGTTTATAAAGCGAAATTTTGTTGGTCTATAAGAATACCTATTTTTGTGATAAGTTGTATTTTTTTGTGATAAGTTGTATTTTTTTGTGATAAGTTATATTTTTTTGGATAATTAGATTTTTTTGTTTCTATCTGCTTCAATTATTTCGAAATTTGTCTACTGTCCAAGGTTACTAGTTCTTTTTTTTAATATCTGGTATCTGAACCTTTAGCTGTAAATATCTTTCAAAGTTCATTATGTAATTTTTTCACATAGAGATACTAAAAAAACTACGCTCTTTCAGAATATGTAAAAAAAATACAGGGTGTCATTTAAACTTTTGAACCGGGGATGGCTGGGGGCGACAGATATCACGTTGAAGTGGTATCTTATACACTATTAATTTACCCCCTACTTCCTTAATGAACTTCCAAAATTTCAAGTCGATATATTTTAAAACACCAGAAATAATTCCATTTAAAGTTTTCGCGCGGACACCCGGTATAGAAAATTGATACCCCTGTCATTCGACATGGCAACTACAGTCAATTTCGCGAACTTTATAAAAAGAAGGACGGAAATTTGAAATATGACCATTGCCGATTCGCCTCCTTCTCTCTAGTCTTCATATATAAAATCTTAATAATTATTAATACAAATTACGTAAAAATAAATTACGTAAAAATACTTAAAGTAGGTAAACACCAGCACAAAAAAAAAGTTGTCAGTACTTTTGACGGGACCGGTATATCTTTATGTATTTCGACGAACTGAATCCGATTCTGAGGTCCGTTTGACCCGTACACCGTCAAATTTTCGAGAAAACTTTGAAAAACCGAAAAAAATTACGAAAATCGTCAGTTTTTATAAGTGAAGACAAAAAATTCATTGTGATGGATAACCCTTGTGACTTTTTACCAATCTAGCTAAATGTGGTTCAATATTGTACCCTTAAATCTCCGCGTTCGTTGATTTTTAAATAAGGTATTTTTTAGCAATGTTCCACAATACAGGATACTTTGATACAATGTTGCACTGCAACCAGAACTTCTGATGGCCTTGTTTAAACTTCTGCTTAAGCTCCTCGTCTGTACTGATGGTGATCAACTCTTCTTGCATTATCACATTGGCTTTTTCCATGGGTGTGATATTGTACAGATTTATTATCCATTGAGGAAGTTGTTAATTTAAGAGATCCTCAAATCTCTCGGTAAAATCCTTGTTTAATGCCTCCAAGTGAGTCACATATGACAAAATAACATCGTCTTAAAGTATTTCTGGTAATTTTGACAAATGCGGAAACTGTAAATATTCTTTTCTCCTCAAATTTTGTTTATAAAGGATAAGTCTACCTACAAAGTCCTATATTCTTAATTTTGCAGCTGCAAATTAACTTTGTTAAACATACCAACTGATAAATATCTGTTTTAAAATTGTTCAGATTTTCTTTCAAATTGGGATCTTTTTCTTGTAAAAACTCCAGCACAGATTCAAAAATAACTGAAAATCTTGCTAATCAGGTAGCTCTTGATAGCCATCGAACTTCAGTATGCAGAAGAAATCGAGAAAAGACTTCGCCGTTTTTCTACATAGCTGAGCAAATAACCCAGAGTTTAAAGAATTGCTTCGAATTTTCTTGAAAGTATTTATAACATATTGTTAAGACTGGTGTAATCTAGGACTCAGATTTATGCTACTAAATGCTGTCTGTGAATTACACAGTAAGTTGTCGCTCAGGGAGTTGTCGCTTTAAGTGAGCTATAAAACCGCGATGACGACTAACCATAGATAGTGCACCATTAGTCGCAGCAACAATTTTTTTACATGGAATAGCTTTGTCGGTAAAAAACGTTCCACGGCCTGAAAAATTGATTCTCCCCTCTCTCAGTCTCTAAATATATAGCAAAAAGCAGTTCTTGAAACATATCCAACTGGAGAGAGAATCTGTTGGTCCGTAAGAAATTGCATAAAATCTTTTCCACGTAACGATTCATCTCGTCTATTTGGCTCTGAACGGTGTTATTGCTCAAAGAATTTCTCCATATAATATCATGTGCGGGCTTGTGCAATACATTGTTGAGGACCTCCGTAATGGCTGATAAAATAAGCTGCTCACCAATTGTGTGAGGTTTCGCCGACTTCGCTATTAGTAAAGATATATTATAGGACGCTGGTAAACCAACATTCTAATAACAAGTTGGTATACGTAACACAATTTGTACAGTATCTTGAAAGTTTCAAATAAATACTTGTGTTAATTATTAGGGCTCGATTTTTAGATCTCGTCGACCCCCAAAATTAATTTTCATTTATATCGACCCCTGAGAAACCGATTTCGACCCTAAGAGGTCGGTAGCGACCACTTTGGGAATCTCTGGACTAGACGACCATGGACTATTAATATTTATACTGACTGATTTTACTTGTCTAATATCAACGGCTAAGCCAAACTTTTTTGGCGACGGAACCCTTTTGGAAAGCGAAATATTTGACGGAGCCCTAAAACAATAAAAATAGATTTTTTAAACTTATATTGGTTTGTTTTACTTTGCAATCCCGGGGCATTTCTAAAAAAAAGTTCTCAAGCAAAATCAGATCCTTTCTTAGGGGGCGTCCATTAATTACGTGAGGTATTTTTGAGGATTTTTTGACTCCCCCTCCCCCCCTGGCGAGATTTGGTAAGATTTTGCTTAACTCCCTCCCTCCCTTCCCTAATATTACGTGAGATTTTTCAAAATTCGTGTTTTGGGTGTAAATGTGTTATATTATTAAAAAAAAAACAAAAATACAATATTTAAGACTAGCAGAGACTAGTGTTTGAGAGTGTTGCAATTATTTAAAATCACATTAATAAAATTAAATGATAAATACTTAAATGGAAATTAATAAAAAATCTATTCTAATTCAGTCCACGGAGACTCATGCACGGCCTCAAGAGTGATTACTGGAATCAACATATCCAAGTGATTTTCAATGAAATCATCTGCTCTGATTTAGAGGTGTGTAATGTGACACTTGCCAACCTTCAATAACGTAAGTAATGACAACATTACATATATGGTTGTAAATAAACATAATTATAAGATTTTTCCATATTTTATTCTAGAAATACTTTTACTATAATTTAACATTACTTTCACGCAATTTTACACCGTTTTCTACTAGAAAAAAATTACGTGAGATTTACGAAAACCCCCCCTCCCCCCAAGTGAGATTTAGAAAGATTTAGTTTTATCCCCTCCCCCCCTTGAACATCTCTCGTAATTAATGGACGCCCCCTTAGTGAAATCTGAAAAAAAGATCCTCAAACCAGGTCCTCCCTTTTATGACGAACTTTTTCATAATACTCCTTTAGTAATTTTTTTATTATGACCATTATTTTCTAGGAGCCCCTACAGTGGCTTTGCGGAGCCCCAGAGCTCATCGAAGCACACTTTGAGAAACACTGGGCTAAGCAAATGTTGGCCACTTTATGTTTTTGAGCAAGTACCGCCACTGAATGCTTATAAATTTAAAAAACAACACCATACGCACATGGTGTAAATAAAAGAAAATAAATTGACACTATTATCATAAATATAAATTCTATGAAAATTATTTAAATAATCGCAAAACAATGTATGCTAATATTAATTATTTTTTGAAATCCGATAAAAAGGCAGTCGTTATTCGTAATGTGCTGCACTTGCAATAATGTTCCTGGCGATTTGGTTCTTTGTTAGTTGTATCGTTTCGTAAGTTAATTTTTCTTTTACATTTTTAGTTTAAAAATTCCTTCAAAACCGATTTTTATGAACCCTTGATGTTCAAGTCAGAGCTAGATTCATTTATTGAGGCAAATATCTGTAAAGTGAGATTAAGTACCAAACTTAATTTTTATCATATTGACCCGTATATAACATTTTTTGTACATAATCTATTGATGATTCTAAACCATCTTGTCTTCGGTTTCGGCTATAGACAAATTTGCAGTTGTCAAATATTTTTTAATGAAGCTATATAAAACAATTTCTGGTTATATTGTTTAGTGTTTTAGGGCATAGATTTCTTATATTTTATTTCGTCTACTTAGTGCAATGAAGTTCTGAATAAGTTTTATTTTATTTCATTTTCTATTTTCTCTACATTATTTACATCTTATTATGTGGTTACATATTTTATTCGTTATTAATTGTTAAATTACTCTTGAGATGCGATAAGTTTTTACAAAGAGTGCTGTATATTTTAAAACTGCTCTTATTTATTTGTTTTATTTCAGAACTGGGTATGCAAAAATACATTACAACAAATTTCCAAAAGATTTTATATTTGGAGTTGGCACATCATCATACCAAATCGAGGGAGCATGGAACATAGACGGAAAAGGACCAAGCATCTGGGATAATTTTACTCACCGAGTACCTTCTCCAATATCAAATAATGATACTGGGGATGTCGCTTGTGACCATTATCACAGATACAAAGAGGATATTCGAAATATTTATAACATAGGTTTTCAATTTTATAGATTTTCCATTTCTTGGCCCAGGTAAGTGAACAGTATGGCTATTATTTACAATGTTTTGTCTTGTGGTTTTATTTCCAGTATATTTTTTAAACTATTAAATTTTTATTGTGTGACGATTGAAGGGTGTTGGTAGATTGGTTCCCAGCTGGTAATAGATTAAAAGTTTGTACCTAATAGTTGTGATCAATATGTAAATTGGTTTCCAAAACAAAAAGACACGACATTAAATTGGTTCCCAGTTTGTAATACGACTAAAACGATAAAATGGGCGTATGTCAACTTGGCCACTTTTACCTGAAAATTTGTTGACAAACCCCGGCTAAAAGATAAGGATTTTAGACAGGTAGTTAAAGTAGAGTAATTAAGTTTGAAATATGTAATGGGTAAATCTGACTTAAGACATGTATAAAGAAGATCAAAATTTTCAGTCTTCAGTTAATTATATAGAACAGCAATAGATTTTACTTGTGTTTGAAGTTGTTTTTATTAATTTCTGCAATGAATCACGAAATTATTTTGAGCGAAAGAGAAAAAGGGTTATTAATTTTTAGATAACTATAAGTATGGTTTTTAAAAGTCTTTAAAGAGTTGTTGCACAAATAGAAAGTGCATATCATTCGTCCTTACTTTGGGCGAAGGTGAAAACATAACAGTAACAAAACATATACGAGAACATTGTCATGATGCAAATGTGGAGAAATTAAATCGCCAAATCGTTAATTCTGCCTGAAAACAAAAAGCTGTGGAGGACTTAATTGAAAAACCTTCCAAGATTATTCAGGAAAATCTTCGATCCTGTATAACGACATCTGATGTTACTTGCATTAGAAGAAATCTTTATAACGCTCCTAGAAAAATCCAGCCATGTTTGCCGAAGAACATCGAAGAAATATTTGACTTCCTGGAACAGGAAAACGTTCAAACCAATAAAGGTGGGCCGTTTCTACTTATAAACAACAGAATTAAACAGATATTAATATTTTCATGTAAGTCTAATATTAAGATGTTAGTCAAATTTATTAAGATGGCACATTTACTTACTGTGCGCAATATTTCTGCCAATTTTTTGCGCTAATTTACATTAATTTTTTATTGTTGCCTGATAAACGCACAAAAACTTAAAAAATTTCAAAAGTTGTTATTCACTTTGAGAAAGCTATCCATAATGCTGTTAATCAAGCTTTTCCCTCACCAGAAATAATTGGTTGCAGATTTCATCTTGCCCAATCGTGGTATACAAAAATTCATCAATGCGGCCTAATATCGGAATACAAAAAATTCAGAAATTGGTAGTTGGTTACGTATGACTTTTGGACAGACATTCTTAAATCCTGACGAAGGTAGCGACTGTTTCGTTTTTGATTTAGTTGCAATAGCACCAAGAGACTAAAATGTTCAAAAATATTACGATTATTTAACAGATAACTATTTATCAGACGAAGCTCTTTTCCCACCTTCCCTCTGGGCTCAGAATTCGGCTAAACTAATACGGACAACTAATGCATGTGAATCTTTTCAAAAACATTTTTATGCGTCTTTTTATAAAGCGCATCCCAACATTTTAATTTTTTGGAAAAACTTAGAGTTTCAAATCGAAACTTATGTAAAATTGCAAAGCATCCATATCACGGCTAAAATGCACAATAGCAAAGTTAAAAACCGCCAACAGTTTATACACAGGAAAAAAGGTGTACTATATTGAAGATGAATGGTTTTATTTCAATGCTTTGTTGTGTTTGCATATCCGCAAGTAAAACTCGTCTTGATTTGAAATTCTAGTAATACTTGTTCAACAATAGCTAATAAGTCTTGCTTCAAGATTAAAATCAACTTGCCCTAACTAAAATACCTCTAATTAAATGAAGAGAATCTATTGCTTAATTGCAGTATTAGGTACATCTTAAATGAAATAGTCTCACTTTTTTAAATATACTTTATTTTTATTCAATATTACCTTGTTCTTAAATCCAATACAACTAAATTTGTTACAATAATAATATGAATTATTCCAAGAAATGTTAATATTGGCCTGGACATAAATATATTGATTTTGGTTGAATTATAGGATAGTTTTATTGAAGAAATTAATAATCTTGAAATAAGAACAGGCTGTTTTTGCTTTTTAATAGGGTTCTCACTGGTACCTATCCACCGAAAAACATTTTTTTAAATTGTTTTTAGTTAATGTACCAAATTCCTCTGTCCTCTGAGGTGTCCCACCTATAATTAAAAAAATAATAATTTTATAACTACAAAACCTAAATGGAACATAAAAGTTTGTCCTGCTGAGATAAGAGGGCGTATCTACAAAATGAATATTTTTAGTTAATGTGGGTAGGTAGATAATTACGTCCTTTTAGACTTCGCAAATAAGTTTTTTATATTTTACTAACCTTTTCTTATAATTATAGTGAATATTTTCTAATGCAAATAGGCCTTTAATATTTTGTGTCATAATAATATAAAACGTAAGCTTATTAAATTTGTAAGAATCTTGAAATTGGAATTTTCGTAGATACGACCTCTTATCTTAGCAAGGCAGAAGTCGTCTTTTCAAAAAGTCGTCATCCAGCCACATACATTTTTTTTATTTCTATTCCAATTTGTTTCGTGTTCTTGATTATAAATTTACTTATATATTTAATATAACACCTAACAAGAAGTGAACTAAATATACTTACATTTAAATATTGGTATCATATTGCTAAGGCCCCATCCATCTAACAAATCTTCCATTTTAATTTAATTTATTCATACACTTACCAATTGAATCACAAAGAAGTAGAACGCAACCCTAACGATATGACGCAAACTTGTTAAAAAATGAACAATAGGATGAACACGTGCTAATGCCAATTTGCCAGACTCTCTATAAATGCGTTGTGTCTCTGACTTTCGAATTATAAGTATCACATATTAACATGTACCAGTGATATATCTACCGTATTAGTGCAGTGGTTGCATTTTAAAATAAGTTTCAGCCGGCAACACCGTGCAGTGAATTTGTATTCGCTAATCTTTTGTGAAGTACATAGGTTTTTGATTCGAATTGTTTAATTCTTGTTCTAAAATTTAAATGCTTTAAATCGAATCATTGAATCAAGTATGCGATAGTTGGTTTTAAGAGCATATCATACTTACAATAAACGTAAGAGCTTTCTTAGATTAATTAACAATTCTATACTCGAATGAAATAATTTATTCTCAGATTAATTATTATACATCTTACAATACAAGATTATGCCTACACTTTACTCAACATTTATTTTCTTATTGTATCCAGAAATATTATTTGAAGCAAACTCTGATTTATTTCGAACAAATATAATCTTCCAAGTGTAAAGCTTTTCTTGAATGTAGATGATCATTTTTTTCTGTGTATCAAAAATGATAGAATCGTAGGTACTCAAAAAATGAAATAAGTCGATTACGTTTTATTAAATGTTTTTCATTTCACTGTGTTATTGATCACTGTAATAATTAATTTTATTTTATATGAACACAAATTTTTAAATAAGTAATATTTTAAATATATAGGTTACGTATATTGTATAGTAATAGACGTATTTTCAAAAACTGTATCTAATTTTATTTATTTCAATTATTTCGATAATTTAATCCCGATATGTTTCTTGGAACACAAAAGCCAGGTAAATCCAAAATATTAGGAATCAATTTTCATATTATTTCCAATCCTCATTAACATGCTGGGAACCTATTTACATATTATTTTTAACCCTTATTAAAATGGTAACCAATTTACATGTACCCCGATTGTTCAAAACCAATATTTTTTACAGAGTGTTACCAACTGGTTATAGCAAACCTATTAATGAAAAGGGTATATCCTTTTACAAGAAAATTATAAACGAAATTTTACGATACAATATGACTCCTGTAGTAACCATTTATCATTGGGATCTTCCACAGCGCCTCTATGAGGATGGTATTGATTGGACCAATCCAAAATTAGTGGATATTTTTGTAGATTATGCCAGAATTATAATCTCAAGGTATTTTAAAATTTTAATAACTCTTAAGTCTTCTAGTAAAATAGAAAATTGTTTAATTTCTGTCGAATGAATGTATTTTAAATTAGTTTTTCCGCAAATCGATAGGAAATTTAGACATTTCAAACAAAATTTCCTAAAGAAAAAGTCAAGATTTCTTAACTGTTAGCAAAAAATTCATTTCCTTACTGTAAGGAAATTATATTTTCTTACTGTTGTTAGTGTTCTACATAAATGATTAAAACACGTTCTTTATTAGGATTATATTTTGAAAACCTCAATGTATTGCAGAATACATTTTAAATTTAGTTTGTTATATTTACAGTTATTTGCCAGTAAGTACAATTATTGAACATTGGAGGAAAATTATTAGAACCATGAGAAACATTGTGGACAAAATGCGAGGTAGTAGGGTTATTTTGATGAACATTTTGTACTTTGAAAATGTATTTGCCACTCCAAGCTTATTGTTTAAAGAATCTTCAATATATTCTTCAGCAATGTTTGAGAGTCAACCGATATTGTTGCAGAAGATCGATAAAAACAGTGACCAGTATATTCTGTCGGATTAACCAAGTTCTAATAAATAGATACTATTTTAGGCATTTTTTTAAATTGATGTTTTCCTACCACTTGTCTACAACCCTTTCCGCTTTGATATTTAAAGAAAAATCGGTCACTGTTCATATTTTCTGGTCTTATCGCAACATACTTTCGATAAACATTCAAGTACATCTGATTAACTACAAATGATCTTGGTTTGTTGGTCTTCGAATCAGGTATGCTAATTAAAAGCTTAGATTTTAGGTCTTCCACATCGTGTAGTCATTCGGACTAACTCATCCATTCTACAGGCCCTAGAAATACCAAATATTAAAAAAATATTAAAAAAATAAATAAAAGTGTAATCTAAATAGAAATTAAAACCTTGTAAATTACCTTAATCATTAAATTTTCTTTACCTGGAGCTTCCTAAATAAATTTTTCGATTTGTTCCTTCGTTAAAATCTTAGATTTCTTTGCCGTATAACCTTAAGCTTGTCGTTTCAATAAAGAACGAAGTTTTGAATATGTAGATATATCTACATTGTGTTTAATTGCAAGGATTGACTTCAACTTTGAATAATTGGCACATAATGTTGAAGATTTTATCTTTAAACAAAGGTCTAGGAAGTATGCCATTACAACATTTCCCGACTGGTATTTTTACTCTTACGATAGATAGTGCATAAAACGTCCGCCGTACTTTGACAAAACCTAGTAACTATGATTTAGTAACTTTTCAGTAAAGCGCGTTTTCTAAAATTGCGTAGCCTTTTTTTATAAGAAGATATTTAGATAAAGTATGAAGCCATTTCTACATAATTTTTAACAAAGAATTTAAATAAATAAAGAAAAAATTGAAAAAATAAGTATTTGACTATTAATATGAGTTACTATATTTTGTTCGAGGTAAATTATTTAATTTACTAATATAAATAATTATGTAGAAACTAGCTATGTAAGTTACTAGATACTATATTTTTAATATAATAAAGTAAAGTATAGTAAATCGCCTATAAAAAATAAATATTTGGTTAGGTCTTTTTACAATTTTATTTAGTGAAAATACAATTATTAAAAAAAAAACCTAAGGAGTATAAATATACGAGTAGTATAATTATGCATATAAAACTAAAACTAGATTGTTTAAAATATTAATCTCTAATTTTCCGAAACAGTACATAAATCACGTAAAATATCATTTGATGGCAAGTAAATCCAGAACAATTTTTTCCTTTCATCGTCAAATACAGGACAAAGGGTGTTAATAGTATATTACATTACGAGTGTGGAAAGTGACATTTTTCACACGAGTGGGAAATATTGTCGCACGAGGCGTAAGCCGAGTGCGACTATCACACGAGTGTGGAAAATCACTTTTCACACAAGTGATGTACAATATTTTTCCTACGACCACAAAATAATTTCATTAAAAAATGTAAAACCAGATTATTATAATAATTAAAATGTATTTAAAAAAATAATCAACAATAATCGTATTTATTAAATTTTCATAATTTCTAAACAAATAAAAAAAAATAAAAAAAAAAATAAAAAAAAAATTCTGGCACAGCCAGGATTCGATCGCGGTCGTTGGACGGTCTCAAATTGCAAAGTTGATGCTCTAACCAACTGAGCTAACAGGCCTTACGGTAATTGATTGATCTAATCGCTAATGTGTTTAACCAGAATAAAAAGCAACTATATCTTAGTTATTTTAAAATTATTTTAAAAATAATTGTTAAAGATAAATATCTAGGATCTAATTTACAATAATTTAACAATCATATCGATTTTAGTATTAATATGGACATTACATAGATCAAAATAGAAATTATGTGTTTGACATTTTCTGACAGCTACTGCGGAAAGTAGCATATTCTCACTTGGGTGGAAAGTAAATTCTTATTCATACGCGTGTGATATAGGGCACTTTCCATAGGTCTATATAGTGTGATATGTGTCACTTTCCTAAGTGGTCGTAGGAAAAAATATTTTCTTTCTGTTATTTAAAGCCAAAGGTTCCAAATATGGTTCTGCTGGCAGCTTAACTTCAAATTTATTTTTTAAAAAGGCCGATTCAATAAAAATATCTTCAAATATTTTTTTCTTACAGAAAAGACTGGTGAAGCCTTCACGAAACTGAATAACCTTTATAGTGTCAAGAAGCGGAATGTTGTTATTTTTACGTTGTTTGCACCCGTCAGTAAAAGGGAAAAAACCAGAAATATTAAGAACTAAACATTTGGTTTTCTTTGATGATTTTTCTATTATATTTAAAAGTTGATCAAAGTTATATATATTTAGATATTTTTTCATCTCTGTGCTTATTCGACTATGCACAGAATTGGCAGCCAGATAAGAATGGCCCGGCTCAAAATATTTTAAAGTAATTTCATCTGAACCCCATTCTGAATTTACAAAACAAGCAAATGAAGAAAATAGAGTCCAGTTTTTGTTCTGTGCTGAACAATTATTTACCCTGAACGCAACTTTCGTTACTTCGGAGCTTAAACTCTTAATAACATTATAATATGCTGATGCCACGTCAGCAGCGCATCTTCCCGGCTCATAGCCTCATGCCACAAAACACAGATTTTACCGTCATCCTGGAGAGAAGCGAAAGTTTTATTGAAGACAACAAGCCTAAAAATTAATATAATTAAATATTTGGGAGCACTAAATTTTAAAACATTTACCTAGAGACAAAAAAAGAGTTTTTAGTAGACATTTTTGACAGAAGTAAAACTTTCTGCATATCAACGCTAAAAACTTTTTTCACTTGAAGTAAGTTCTTTAGCTTTATCAGCTTGGTATTCATCCCTCGCTTCTGTGTAAAACATTTTATGATCATTATAGTAAATACATTTTTTACATGTACAAATTGAATTGAGTTCACTACTATGAGTTTTGTAAATCTTGCAGGTGTCACACTCATCTTGCGAAGGTCGAGAGAATCCAATATTGCTTAAATATATTTCTATGAGGGTCATACCCAACTTTTTGGCCTATAGAAAAATCTTTCCACATAAAAGATATTGTTAGTTCTGGTGGTAAGTAACGACGATTTGGAGAATGCTCTAGGTTATAATGTGAAATAACTGGATTAAAAGAGTTGATATGATTAATTATTTCAATTTGGTAATCTAATTTTTGCTGTTTAAAATAGCTCTGGCAACAAGACCTCTGTCATCTTTGGTTTTAGCTACTCCATTTTCTGAGTTTCTTTTTTCTCTTAAATAAGCGGTAATCATTCCGTCTGTCTTAAGACCAAGTGTGTGCAAAAACATTGTTTTGCATACCTGCAGTCTTCAATTATATTATTACCAGATTCTAAGTGATTATTTATTGGTAAAAAATATCAAATAGAATAATTTTTGTTTGATGATAATACCTCTTGTACCCTGGTTTTAACACCGTGTTGTTTAATATGCGAATCCAGAGAGAGTCTTCTTTCGCCAAATGTCATGGTCCAAAATTTAGATCTTATGTTATTTCTTTCCAAGTTACTAATTTTTTTTTAACACTTTTTGCGACATTGATCACTGCAAGGAAGTAGTAGGGGATATTTTTCAAAAAGATTTCTCTTCTGTTTACCTTTAAAGCAGATTTTGTCTATTATGCCATCCAGAACTACTTTACAAATTTGTTCTATGTTTTCACTTTCCATAATAACAGTTGCTTTTTTTATATTATTATTCGTATTGTTGGATTTTGCTTTTACATCTTCAGACGCTGAGCATTTTAATATTTGAGAGTTTTTGTCTAAGCTAAGCTGACTACAGGCTCATCGGACACACATAACTTAAGTTAAAAAACGTTTTTCGTTTTTTTTAACTGGTTCAAAATCGGGATCTGCGTCCGAATCATCAAAATCTGAAAATTCCTTCATAATGTCATTATTTCTGTCCTGAGTAGGATTTTCAGTCGAGTGTTCAAAGTCTTCACAATCATCAGAAGTCGCTTTTGACGTACTGGCTATTGGATTTTCGGAAACTTTCGTATTAGAATTTTGTCTAAAAAGAGTATTCTCTTAAATTTTAAAGAAGGGTTTTGGGAAGTTTATTTTTTACGTTTATTTCTTAGACGGTCTTTTGTAATGTTATTTTACTTCGTATACAGAGCTCAATATATAGGGTGTAAATAAATCAGTGCAAAAATTTTCGTGTGGCGATTCTTGGGCTCATTTTAAGAAAAAGCTTTATCTGGAAAAATGTCATAAACGTGATAACTTGTAAGATGCCGGGAGTTAAGATTTAAAGTTAAAACATGTTTGATTATTTTCCAAAACTAGTATAGATATTTAAATGAAACTTGGTACCTATAGCTTCTATGCATTAACAGGCATTTTCTGAAGTAGACAATTTTTTTTATTTCAACCAGTGGCGTTCGTGAAAAATTGCAGCTAAGTATTTTAAAATAAAAATATGGTACGCCACTTCTTTGCCTAAAAACAAAAATTATTTTCGAAATCCTCATTCATTAAAATTTTCGCACTTATTTATTTATGTACCTACTTAATAAACCTACTAAGTGTTTAAGCATTTAAGCAGAAAAATAATCAACTTGCAAGTGATTTTTCTTTTAAGTTAACAAATGCTTGACAAATTTCTTAACCTAAGTAATATGTATTACTTTAATAAAGTTTCTTACCCCTGACACAATGAAAATATTAAATTTGCTCTTCTGGGCATTATTAGTTTGCTTTCTTGCTGAGTAACACACCGTGATTATGAGTAATAAGGCAGACAACTCACGACACCACATACGATATGTTGACTATGTCAAACACAAAACGTGTCTGATCCGATAAAAGCCAGTAACAACAAATAATTTATTCGGGAGTATGCATATTCGTTATAATATAATTCAGCAAAAAGTAGTATATTGAGATAAGTTTATCATATTCTACATTAAAAATGCAAAAATAAACTTACTAAAACATAGTATCAACGTTGCTACCTTTTCATTTACACATAAAGCTAAACATTAATTATTTAAAACAAAGCAACTTTAAAAAAAGCCCGCCAGCCTATATCATTATCATAAGAAAATACGTTGCGTAAAACCTAGCATATTGAGTTAGGTACTAACTGCTACTGATAGCATATTTAAAAAAAGAACATAACATTGTCGTTAGTAACTTCATTTGTTATATTTTGCTTTATGATAACTAAATGTATTTAGAAGTTACTAGAAATAGAGCATTATTACTCCCACCGTAATATAAAAAATATAGTTGCTAGAGGTAAATTTAATCGCTGATTTCAAAAATGCAGTAATTTTTTAAAACCTAGTAACTTTAGTAACTAGGTTTTACAGAAGTTGGGCAGACGTGTATATGCATGTTCGTACTTTTCTCTTCATTTCTTTGGCAATAATTTTAATGAAGCAGTATTCACTGCATCAACCAGCTATAGAGGAGTCCCAGGAATGGAAAATTAATCATCACTGTTTTGCTTTCGAAAACACCAGCAATTAAATTTATATGCGTCAAGTTTGACAATTCAACATTAATACGTTTCCATAGTAACGCAAACAATTTTATTACGAATTTCAAAGCACCATTTTTCGAAACTAATTAATATCGAATTTTAAACGATTTACGCAAAAGAAGTATGTTTACTTCGTAGGAAAAGCCACATTTCTGGACTCTGTGTAGCTAAGTCTCGGCTTGCGTCTCTACTTAGCAATCTTTGCAGTCGTCCAGGAATGTTAGACTTTTCCTACTTGATAAACAATATACTATTCTTTCATATATTTTAATAATATAGTAATAAAACCATTTAAAGATTTCCAGAAGTTGGACTTTGGACAACGATTAATGAGCCTAAGCAAATATGTCGTCTTGGATATGGTACAGGTATTCTTGCCCCAGGTGTAAAGAGCGACGGGTTATTGGAGTATCAGTGTACTTATGTTATATTAAAAACCCATGCAGCAACCTATCGTATGTATAAAAAGGAATTTTCCCATTATAAAGGTAAGAAGTATTCTAAATTTTTATCGTGTTCATTATTATAGTTATAACATTACAAATAATAGTGTTAAACCAATAATATTGTAACCGATTCTTATTATTTTTAAGCTAAAATGTCAATAGTTATTGAATGCCCGTGGTCTGAACCATTGACGAACACCAAATCTAACAAAGATGCAAGTGAAAGACTCAGGCAATTTGAGGTGAGTAACAAAAAATTTGTCTTTTAATAATTGGTTTGATCAGTTGGTTTTATCGAATTGAAATTCTGAAGTTCGTTGTCGTTTTTTAAAATTTTTCAATCTTCATCTTATATCAGTAAATTGGAACAGTTTGTTTATATTTTATTGCAAAACGTGAATTTAATACAAACCATAAAACAAATATTATTATCTTCTTGGTCTCAAGTCTGAGATATGAATCAATTCTCCTGGGTTTGTACAGAGACACCAATCTTCACTATTTAAGTCAAACTTCACTTATTAGGGTTCAGTTGACATTTATCTGCGCCAAATAAGTTCTCAATTTTGTAGACCGTCAGATAGTGATCGATTTAGGTGCCCCATTTTCGTATACAATCCTCAAAGAAGGTTGATAAGTATATCGATATTGAGTAGAATAAAAGAAAATTTACGATGGCTCTTGGGGATAACACATGGAAAATTCGATTTTCATTATCAGAAAAATTTTCTGACCCCAAAATGCACTTATACATTCAGGTCATTCAAGAAAATATATTTTTCGAACCAGTGACGATGTAGGTTTTCATATATTCGATGGGCTTGTGTGGAAAAATCTGGTAAAATCTCGATTTTTCTTGGAAGATTACGCCCTTGTTTCAACCCTTTAGCCACTTGAAACATTAAAGCCTTTGGTTTTCCGAAGCCTAGTTCTATTAATTAATCATATTATAGTGAAAACGGCTTGCGTGTAAATATGGGCAACAAATAATCTTTCATTTTTGCTGGAAAAAATCGAATTTTCTATATGTTATAGCAGCTACTCGTAAATTTTCTTTCATTCTACCTAAAATCGATGTACTTTTCAGCTTTCTTCATGGTTTGTATGCGAAAATGGGGCACCTAAACCTGCCACTATCTGAGAATATCGCTATTGGTACGCGAAATTTTAACTTATTGTAGACAATAAAAAAATCTCAGGGGTGTGTAATGCAATGCTGACATCTGTTAGGACTACAAAATTCGTAGAGGTTTTGGAGGTAGTGTGAAATTTTATTGTGAAAATATTTTAAAATTTTTCAATAATTGAAGTGAGGTCACTAATAATTGTTGGTTTATTTTCACACAATTTCTGAGGTATTATCGTAGTTACCATTTTTTCCAGTGTTGGTTTGCCATTAGCCATATAATATGACCCCATTATCAGATAAATATACGGTGATTCGTAATTAATGGTACACTTCGCGGCATATAAAAATCGTGCTTTTCAAGCTGTGTAAATTGATCTTTTAAAATGTGTCAAAGGTAAACTACTTTTTATGTTATAATTTTTAGAACAACGTTGCTAGCACAACGAAAATATTAGTAGATGCAACACATACTTTGATTACAATACGGTGCAAGAGAGAGGTCCGACACGTCCAACATAGGGCGCGGCCATTTTGATACCTTTACCACAGTTTATAGCTAAAGAATCAGTTCGCTCACTCTGCGTCTGCACTTTTAATCTCAATGTTCCAGTTTATACACTGCGCAACTCGGATAATACAATATATGATAACCGCCTATAATAAAACAGCAGTCTTCTGTGCATCCTGACTTTGGATCCCTGGAGTGGATGTTATTTTGGAACATTCAACTGGTTCGAGTGAGCTAACTGATTCTTTAGCAATAAACTGTGACTCCAAAAATAATATTCACTGACACTGACAGCAGCAAGCAAAATATCAAGTGCGTTTTAGTCATCCGCTTCTGCTTCCGGAATTGTCAGTTTAATCGTCTTAACAACTCCTTGAATTTTTGCTGCATGTTTAAAAACACCCATAGTTCCATTATTAATAATTTCTTGTAATCTTCTAAGCACGAGTTAATTAAATTTATTGTAAACTTTTTATCTTCTGCCAAGTTTATATGTTTATAAAATAAAATTTAAAGTGAAGACAACTCTAATTAGCGTATTTACTTTGCTAACGTGTATTTTCGGGGCGGTTCGGCTGCACAATTCTTTAAATCAGTTTTTCTAACTATTCTTAACACTCAGGGCCGCCGACAGCCAGGCCGGGCCCCAGAACAACTCTCTAGATCGGGCCCCGTGACAAGCTCTTCAAACAAAAACTTTTCCTGTTCTACTTGAATTGCTTTTTCTAAAGAAAAAGGTCCTCAAGCAAAAACTTTTCCTCCTCTACTTGAATTGAATTTTCTAAAAAAAACCCTCTCGTCTTGTGTCACATTTCTCATACAAAACAAAAAAAAAACAGTTGCCGGGCCCCCCTTATACCGCTGCCGAGCCCCCATTTGAGTCCGGGCCTCGGGAATTAGTCCCGGCTACCCCCCTCTAGTCGGCCCTGTTAACACTTTTGTTACTGAAGCATTCAAGTTTGTTTCAACTTTTGCCTATCTTGCTTGCTGTAAATAATTAGTTAATGTTTCATCTTGTTATGCTATAGTTATAACTGGTCTCCCAGTCTCTCTTTTTCTGTTTACAATTTGATTGTTGTCCCATTTTTGCAAAGCTGTTGATCGTGGTTTTCGCATTTTATCAAACTTACTTAAATGATCTGACATCGTAACAATGCGCTTTGATAAACTTGACAAATCTTACTCTTTGTCATTTTCAAAAGTAAAGTTGGTTTTACATTGGGAAAAATAAGTGTACCACTTTTATATGACGCGAAGTATACATAGCGTATTGCTAGTGTTGACTACAAATTATTACAATCTGATTTAACTTTATTTAATAAAGAACATATAAAAAGTACAGGGTATTTTTGAAATAATATTTCGCCTTTGCCACAGAAGAAAGAGTTCTTTATCCTGTGGCCTTTGCAGTAATAATTTCACAATCTGTGTATAAATTGTTGACAAATTTGGCAGAGGATAATTATTTATGGCAAGGAATATGATTTTATTCATAATTTTAAGTTTTATTATAAAGGCTGTCATATGAGCTATATGTGATGATGAAATTGGATCATAATTTTTATGACACAAACTTTTGGCTATTTTGACTAAAAAATAATATACCTACATAAAAAATAAATGTTATTTATACACATTTAATTATCAAGAAAAGTCTTTTAAAATTAAATAAAAATCACTTGTAAAATTATTGCCAATAAAAAAAAAATTATGCCAACTTTGAAGGAAAAGTAGGCTAGAACTCAAGCCTGATTAAGAGGAGTCAGTGGCTGGACTTAAGCCTGCTTAGAAGAGACCGGCGAAACCCCTCAGGGGGCAGCAAAATGATGCCTAAAAGAGTAAAAATCTTTTTTTTATATTTCATTGAATCAAGTTGATTCAGATCGTATTGTTTTAAAGCCAAGAAGTTATTTACAATAACTTTATTGATCATTAAATACGTACCACCCTTTAAATGATTGTAAAAATAAATTATATACAGTCCCATTAGTGCGTAATTGTTCAATATTACAATATTTGTTATAAAGACACAAATTTCAAACAAAAATTATATAGATTTAAAAAATACATATCTTAAATAATTTTTGCAGTTTTGCCTGGCAAATGAAAATATATATTTTATTTTGGTTTTAGAATGATTTCATAACACTGTATTTAACGCTGGAACTTTTTTTAAATAATGTTTTTATGAAATTATCATAATTCAGGTAGGTTTACATTGATGTCAAAATTGTTTAATATAAAGACTGATAAGATAATAAGACAACGTATAGTGGTGATAGAACTGATTTTTTTTTTATGTTTTGAAACATGTCTTAAATATGGCTAATTTTAAGTTCAATTTACTCAATTTTTTCAAATACACCTGCATATTATTTTAACATAAAATAGCTTATAAATTTGTTTATCCAACGATACCATCATGTTAGCCAACAACACATATACAGGATGTCCATCTGTGCGTAATTGATCAATAGCTGTTTTATTATTGGAAATACGAAGAAATTTTTAATATAAAACTTGTATGACTATATTTAACAATTATTCTCAAATATACTGAGTGTTCTATAAATGAGATGTTTACCAAACCTATACTTTTTTAAAGTAAAACACCCTGCAGGTAGTTATATATATTTTATTGTTTTCACATCGTAAAACAATTTTAATAGACTTCATTCATTTGCTATGTTGTATAGAGGATGTGTCCAAATGCAAGATTGCGATTTTCTTAATTTTTAAATAAATATTTTGTATGTTAAACCACCACTTAATTAATACAGGGTATCTCATTTAAAAAATTGAAAAAATCATAACCTCGCATTTTGACACATCCTATATTCAACATAGAAAATTAATGAAGTCAGTTAAAATAGTTTGACGATGTGATAACAATCAAATATGCATAACTACTTGCAGGGTGTTTTGCTTTAAAAAGTATAGGTTTGGTCAGCACTTCGTTTATGGAACACCCTGTATATTTAAAAATATTGGTTAAATAAGGTCATACAACTTTTATATGAAAAATGTCTTCGTATTTCCAATAATTAAACAGCTATCGAATAATTACGCATTGATGGGACACCCTGTATATATGTTAATGACATATAAGTTGAATTGACAAATTTAAAAAGGGTTTTATGCCAAAATTTCGTTTGAAAAAATTGAGTAAATTGTACTTAAAGTTAGCCATATTTAAGACATGTTTCAAAAAACCCTGTATAAAATAAATCACTTCTATCACCACTACTCGTTAGCTCAGTAACAATTTTAAAATTATTATAAACATACCTAAATTATGATAATTTAATTTGAGGTCCTCATCCTTCTCTAATTTCATAAAGAATTAATTGCGTGGAAAACCCTGCAATATTAAAAAAATATTCTAGAGTTGAATTCAGTGTTACCAAACCATTCTAAAACTGAAATAAAATACAGAGTGATCTTCTTAAAAAATATACATTTATATTTGCCAGGCAAAACTGCAACATACAAAAATATTTTTAAAATATGTATTTTTTGATTCCATTTAACTTTTATTTGAAACTTGCTTGCGTGTCTATAAGACAAATTGAAATAATGAACAATTACGCACTAATGGGACACCC